AGGAAGACATTATTCCCTTTTCAGCCAGGCTGCATAATACATTTGTTAATCATTTTATTGACCTTCAAACTTACTGGAATGGTTATGTAGATTATTCGTTTTTTTTTCTAAATACACTTTTAAACCGGGAGCGGTGGCGCGGGACATCTGTGATCTTTATTGAGGGAAGTTGGAACTGATCAAACAAAAGGAAAACCTGCTGAAAAAATACATATTATTCATGATTGAGAAACGCCATGAACATGAAACGAAAGGAAAATTTTCAAATGCTTCCTGAAGAACTCCATCAACCTAAAATATGAAGCCATAAGTGTACCACAAGGTTCAGTTCGCCTTGTCAAAAAGACACAAGAAATAAAAAGTTCCACTTGCTATTTGTTGATTACCAAAGGAGTCATGTGAGTACGAGCCCAGTACCACTAAAGACCCGCCGTGTAGGGGAGAGATGCACGTTAAATCTATCAAGAGCTCAAACGTCCTCTTGTTGGAGTGGTGTGGTAGTTAAAACAGGCCAGTTTAAGTATCGTCCACGTCAACCATTGTTCAAAATTACGAGGTCGTCGCCAAAAGCCCTCGTGAAGCTGAACAGTGCGACGTTAATATTCACTCACTCGATCATGAAAGCTCATTAAAACTACAATAACTTGGAACAAAATATGACAGCTTTGCCAGAAAATAACATTTCTGTAGTATTAATGAAAGTGTCTCTGATTTGCGTCCTTTATTAAGGTCTTGAACTTTTGAATCATTTTAGTTCAGTGTTTTATTGGATTTTTTCTCAAATCATCAAAGAAAAATTGAATAGTCCTTGAAAGCCGGTAAGTATACTTTCTCTTAATTAAATTATTCACTGGAATTCCGATTTTTCTCGTGTACAGTAAAAATAATTATAAACAAATGTTTGGGGTGACTGAGTCCCCCCCCGCACTAACATTAGCGTTAGTATCGAGTGCGTGCCTGCTCCCGGGTTAAAACATTTTGAAGTCTTCTCGCTTTAAATGTTAAAAAGTAACACAATTATTCTTCATCGGAATTTTATATTCTTTTTCATAATTTAACATTAATTCTAAATGCTAATTGTGTGAGGTTAAAATTACAGTTCTTTTAAACAGTTATTTACAATTATAGCATTTATCTAAAAAAATCATTTTACATTTTTGTATACAATGTCATGCACACAGTTTTACTCTCCTTACAGTTCAGCTATTATATCAAGAATAATGTTTTATTTTTTTAAAAATGAACTCGTGCGAAGTTTCAGCCAGTATACGTTTGATGTATCAGTACTGAAGAAGGTATTTTATAAATAATTTCTTATTACTAAATTAAGAACAAGTTTGATTATTATGGACTTTCATGGGCTTGTCTTGTAGAGCAAAGTTTTTCAAAGGAAGGTTTAATATCAGAAATTGACACTCTGAGTCTATTTTTCTATATTTAGCTGAGATCTATATTTTGTCTTCAAAGCAGCCACCGCAGAAAAATTTGGTTTAACAAAGGTAGGATGTTGAAAATGGTAATAGTATACGAAGTGCTTTAGTTTTCAGAACAGAATTTCATCATCCACCTTTACCCCAAATTCAAAGACCGATTTATTACAAAATTGCCTTTTAAGTTTTCACTGGATGTGAAATGTATGAAGATTTCTCTTCGGAAGTTGAGAGTCCTTCTGGAGTATCTTGAAATAGATCCCTAATCCACTCGTAACTTGCTACTAAGTTGTCCTCATACAGAAAATACTTTTTGAAATTCTTTGCCAACATAGTTAAACGATTTTACATGGTTTTAGAAACAACTTTCTCATTTTGTTCTTCAGATTTGTAAGTTCTGCCACATAACCAGCTGGGGCTTTTTTCTCCATCATTTACGTCATTGGTGGTAAATCCAAAATTTAAGTATTTTTGAGAATATATATTGCTTTGATTTAATTTTCGGAACCATGCTCGTCTGTGTACTTGTTGATCCTTCATTATCGTGGAATGTTTGCTTAGGACTTAAAAATGTATGTATGATTTTGTTTTAATCTACTGCCGTAAATACTTAATTACCGTGAATTACAATTAACGTATAAATTTAAAAAAACGTACATTCACAAGCTAGATTCGGTAGCTATAGAAGTATCGAGTCGACCAAAGCTGAGTGGAATTGTACGAGGTTTTACATGTTTTGCGCAGACGTCCGATAGGTTGCCCAGACTAACGCAAACGTACCCGATAATGCCAAATGTGATGGATATGATAGCGAGCAACATAGACAAGACTATTTTTCTAATGACATTTGTACTTTGAGAAACGAATGCTGAAGGAGAAATAAATCATTAATTAAATATATCATTTTGCGATCTGTTCCAATTTAAAAATTAGAGAAAGAAAAATTAATAATAAGTAAGTAATATAAATTTTAAGTAATTTTCTTAAAATATATATTACTTAAAAGTTACATACACAAAATTTAATATACTTATCGTATTAATTTATACGGTTTATAATTAAGATCGTATTGTAACTTAAACGTCTTTCTCTCAAAGTGCATTTTTATTGCAATAAATACATTATTGTTGTACAGGGGGCGTGACAAAAATTATGATTGAAAATTGGGTCGCCAGTATTGAAAGTTTGAGAAACACTGATCTAAGGAATGCGGACTATTTGTATCGCTCCATTTATTCGATTTATATAATTCAATATTTTTCTTCCGACGAGAGTTCTTTTCCTCCATTTTGCCAAAGGATTTTTGAATCAATTTTTAAATTGTTTCAAATTTTCTTTTTGAAATTTCATAATTTATTAAGAAAATTGATATTTGACATAAATACTCTTTTTCATGTTTAAAATGCAGGAAATAATATTCACATAATAAAGATAATTACATTTCTCAGATATGATATCATTGAAGGACTTGATTGTATATTTCAAAATATTTTCGAATTTTACTTTGTTTTTGAAATTTTACTCTTCAAACAATTTAATTATTCTAAAAAATACCTTTCATTTTGAGTTTTATGACTGCTTTCTGTTTAGAGAATTTTAAAAGACTAAAGCAAGAAATTGAAACATCTCTCATACATGTCGTGCTTTTTTTCAAAAACACGTAAATTATTTTCTTTAAAAAATGCATTGATCAATTCTTTATATAAATCATTGCTTGTGTGGAGGGGATTACAATACAATTTCTTAAAAATAAAATTAAAAAAAATTAAAAAAAACTCAATGTTCTTCATAATGAATTTCAAATTATTTCATGTTGTTTCGTGAACATGTGTTTTTGTTATAAATTGTCTATTGAGTCATGGCACATTGAAAAAAATCTATTACCATGAACATTTGTTTTAAATTTTAGACAGTGAAATAATAATTTTTCAATGCTCTTTTATAAAATCACACCTTATAAAAATGAAAAAGATCATGGAAAAAATACTTTACACTTTATTTTTATTCCTAATGGAATTAGTATTTAAATAAAGCATTATGTTAACTATTTTCTACACTGTAGCTAAATTATTTTTGACCTATACCGTATGGTGTGCTTCTATTTTTGCTTTTTTTATTTAGAATTACAGCTATTTAGCACGTATTTTTATTATAATTATTAATTATATACATACAAGGCATTCATTATAAAGACGAATTAAGTGCTTTCAAATCAAATCAAAAACTAAAAAAAATACATCATGGTTGCCAAATTGCTTAAGGTATCGACTACGTTCGGAACCGTGATTTTACAAAAGCGTATAAATGGATAATATTTAGGATATTTAGTGTCACTTAGATTAGAAAACGTATATAAAATTGTTTTAAGAATATTATTACAGTAACATTTTTTTTAAATACAATTTTTAGAAAAAAAAAAGAACTTAGAGTGACCAATTTACAAAATATTCTCCTTTTGTAAAAAATGCTTCTTTTATAATAATATTTTGCCTGTATATAGCTCAAATCTCTGTACAGAGTCTCAACTACAATTTTTGAAATATATAACTTAGAAGTGGGTTTATCCATGTTTTACGACAACAGAAAGGAGAAATTTTAAGAAAAAAAAAACACCGATAATTATTTCAATTGGTTGTAACCCTGAAAACAATGTGATTTTTTCAAGAAACATAGTTGAGTCTGTGTACAGAGGTCTGAGCTGTATACAGGCAAAATATTATTATAACAGAAGCATTTTTCACAAAAGGAGAACATTTTGAAAAAAGGTTATTCGAAGTTAATTTTTTGTCGAAATATTGTACTTAAATAATTTTTTTTTGTCAAAATGTCCTTAAAACAATTTTATACATGTATTCTAATCTAAGTGACACTAAATATCATGAGAAATATTCATTTATGCGCTTTTTTAATATCATGTTTCAAACTTGGTCGGATACCTTAAGTTTGTCCATGAATTAAAAAAAATATTTCTCCTTACAAACGATGTGTTTATCATTCATTATTAATGTACTGGTATGCCGTAATTTGGCAGAACTAAATTATTTTTCAGGTTGAATAACCGTGACACCCTCTTTTGAAAGTAGTAACGGTTCAGTTGATTGCTAAGGAAACTATGACACTTTTTTCGCCCAAATGATTTTGTATGAATAAAAAATTTCTTTAACTGTTAGGAACATTTGAGTTAACATAATTAAAAATCTTAAATTTTAGACTAATGGATGGAAGTCAGAAATATAAAAAAATAACAAATAATAAAACTGTGAAATGTTTCAGCTGATGTTTTGGACATAAAATGTATTATTATTTTTTTCAATTCCTACACTGTTAGTTTTTTTCACTCTGTCTCCCTATATATATATATAGTATTCAAATTTTCAATCGTTAACAAAATACTTTCTATATTCTTCAATTCAAGTTCAAATATATTTTTTTAAACTTGTAGTGGATGACACTTGATGTTAATACAATTTTTTTCAATTATTAATTCATTAATTAAATTAAAAAATGAAAAAATAGTAACAAACAAAAATAACAGTCCAACAGCATATATAGAAAGGAAAATCGTTTTGTGTCCCTGTAGCAAAATAGATAACGCGTTGGATTATTAATCCAGTGGTCGTGGGTTCGACTCCCTCTAGGGATGGCCTAATTTCTGAGAATGTGCTTTCTTTTTTACTATACTATTTTATTAGAATAATTAAATTTAATTAATGAATAAACAGTAACAACAAAAAATAGTCCAAAACCATATATAGAAAGGAAAATGGAAAATTGCAAAGAAAATCGCTTTCTATTTTGGCACTTAATATTGTAATTCAGCCATACGTACATGTTACATATTTATATTAATTATAACTATTTAATAAAAAAGTAAATAAAAGAAATTTTTTTTTTTGATCTAAGTAGGAATTGACTTAATTTTTTTTATATTACTTGTTCACCATATAGTGAGGTATAATCCACCATAAGTAGGAATTGACTTAATTTTTTTTATATTACTTGTTCACCATATAGTGAGACATAATATTTTATTTAATGATATAGCTTGAGTTACTCATTGCAGTGTGTTTCCAAACATAATATTACATGTGCAATTATTGCTTAGAAACCATTTTAAAAATACGACTTATTTTGATTAAATTATCGTGGTTTATAGCTCTATAGAGTATGAGCCAACGAAATAATCAAAGGTAAAAAATGTAACATGTGTTATTTTATACAAAGGGGTTTCCAACCAGTGGTCCTTAAATTTTGAATACCTAATAGAGATTTACATCGCCTAATCTTTTGGTAGAGTAAAGGCCTGTAAAGCGTAAAATGGAGATGTCAAAGTTTAATTTTAAGAGCTTGCTTTACACATCGTCTGTGTGAGATATCTTAAAAGAATAATTAAAGTCACTAAATTAAGATCAATATTTCTCTTTTATATTAAAATCTTAATTTACTTACCACGAAAACTGTTATTTTGGTTTTCATTTCAGCATGAAAATTAAAGCGAAGATAAAAATATTGATTATCCAAGTTTTTTCCTTAAATTCTCTCAATTAATTAAAAGAAAAATCCAATCTAGACGACATGGAGACTTATAATTAGATAAAAAAAGGGGACTTCGCTTAGATTAGATTGACATTTAATTTAGGGTAATCTCTCCGGTATGAGGCGGCTTCAGAATTTTAAACCCTTCATTATTCCTATTCACAGCAGTTATTTAGTATTATTACAATACATTAATAAAATATAAATATAATTATACAATTATATAATAGGATTTATGACACAAAATATAGGAAATAGTTAGCATAGGAAATACAACTATCCTATGATACTTTAATGAAGGAGTAAGCAAGTAGTGGTCCACAAACAGTTTTTTGCACCCCGCGAAAAGACAGTCAAAAACACAGACTGAAAATGTTCTGTTTTTGAGGTCATCATATATTTGAGAGCAAAGTTTTCTTGCATGAAAATCAAGAGTAAAATATAAATGCAAGTTGGCTGACATAAAATTCAGGCTGAGATGAGAATTTAAATAAGCAATCTCACTCCTGATTTAAAAAAAAAAAGTGCGACAGAGTATATTTGTCTATCATTCTGAGAGTATATTTGTCTATTGATTCTAAAATTAAAAGGTATCCGAATACGTTCGGAACCGTGATTTTGCAAAAGCGTATAAATGGATAATATTTATAATATTTATTGTCAATTAAGTTAGAAAACGTAAAATTGTTTTAAGAATATTATTACAAAAGAAATTTTTTAAGTACAATATTTTGACAAAAAATGAACATAGAATGACCAATATTCAAAATATTCTCCTTTTGTGAAAAATGCTTCTATTACAATAATATTTTGCATGTATATAGTTCATACCTCTGAATAGAGGCTCAACTATAATTTTTAAAAATATATAACTTAGAAGTGGGGTTATCCATGTTTTACGACAACAGAGGGGAGAAATTTTTAAAAATAACGCCGATAATTATTTTAATTGGTTGTAACTCTGAAAATAATGTGAATTTTTCAAAAATTCTAGTTGAGCCCCTATACAGAGGTCTGAGCTATATACAAGCAAAATGTTATTATAATAGAAGCCTTTTTCACAAAAGAAGAACATTTGGAAAAAAGATTATTCTAACTTAATTTTTTGCCAAAATATTGTATTTAAATAAATTTTTTTGTCAAAATGTCCTTAAAACAATTTTATACATGTATTCTAATCTAAGCGATATTAAATATCATGAAAATTATCCATTTATGCTCCTTTTTAAAATCACGGTTCCGAACGTAGTCGGATACCGTAAATGTACTTAAAGCTACAGATATTGTGAAATCAGCACAAAACTAAGGTATCCGAACATGTTCTTATATTTTGGCAAAATAACATACTTAAACATTATTAATGCTTTTTTAGGACTCAATATCAATAAATACTGATATTTAACAAGCAATATTTAAAATAAATTTTCTAAATTTCACAAAAATCACGATTATAAGTGAAATTTTAGCAATATTTTTGTAAAACTTCAAAGCAATTAGAGAAAAAAGTAATAAACATATTAGTAAAAGTATTACCAAAATAAATTAGATACATTTATCTAAAGAATGTACTAAAATTTTAATTTTTATTAAAATTTGAAAATCTTTGAGCTGATTGAGTAAACATCATAAGAAAAATCACATTTTTTATGAGACCATTATTTAAATAACCAGCCCTTACTCGAAGATTATTCATGCGATAAGAAGTATTTTAGTTCATTCTCTAGAAAATAGCATAAATATCGGGTTCAAAAAGTTTTATAGAAATGCATTTGTAATATTTTGAGTAATCAGACTCGCCGTGATAGATTTTGAGCAATTTAAATGCTCACTTCTGGTTGATAAAATACCCACTTCCGGTTTTTCTAACTTAATAAAATTGATTGTAGCTTGGCCTCTAGGTAGCGTAGAAACAAAACAAAGCATGTTTTGTAAAGCCAAAAAATAGCTCTATTAAAAAAAAAAAACTTGTCTTGACCGAATTTGGTCATTTTCAACGTGTTTGGATACATGAAACTGCCACTATTCTATTTAATTTACATTAATTGATTTTTTTAATTGAAATTTATACCTTTTCTAAGATGCAAAGTTAATTAGTAAGTATAATTATTTTAAGAAGGTGTGGAACTTCGCTTCCACAATGTAGTCCTCAAGCCAAAACAATTGCTCACTCCTGCTTTATTGTATGAATAAACGGAAGACTTATATTATTTTTGAGACCGATGTACTCTGACTTATTAATTATAATCGTTACAATGATTAAAACTTCTAAACACCCTTTTTACCAGGTACTGTTTGACGATATTGGCTGTGTGTGGGTGAGCAATGTCGTAAATGTCGTTTGTTGTGCGTACTGGGGTCGTACCCTACAAACCTCCCACGTTTTTCTCATCTATAAATACCGGGTAACGATTTGTTTCACGGATTCGCGATTAATCTGCAGTTCATCAGCTATAATGCGCACAGTTAATTGACGATCTTTAGGGATTAATTTCCTCACCTCAATATGTTTTCTTCAGTGCCGGTTTTCCACTACAGGTTTTGTCAGAACACTTTCCCAACCTTCTCAAAAATGGATGAACCACTCGTAAACACACTGCATGGACAATGGCGTATCTTCATAAACACATACCAGCATCGAATAAGTTTCTGTCGGTGTTTTTCCAAGCTTTAAACAAAACTTTAAATTGATCTTTTGTTCGTTCATTTTCCTGTTCTCAGTTTAGAACCAACGCATTAAACAAGAGCTTTGTAAAACAAGTCTTACACGGAACACAAAAGAAAACTCAACCGAACAACGGTGGGGGCAGATGGTCAACATCTGTCGATACGCATGTGCAGAGTTTTGTTTCGCCAGTGTTGCTAGATCGTCCGTTCTGACTTCATTCACGGAGCTTTATCGTCAGAGGCGGACATTTTTCAACGTCTGTCACTTAGAAATTTTCAGGATGAATTTTACAAAGTTTGAACTTTATCCTAACTTCATGAAAATATATTATATCAGAACAAAACAAAGTTGGATAAATATTTTAAAAATATATTAAATAATCATTATAATTAAACATTCCTTATAATCAAAATTCAGTTTCCATTTAGCCACTAATGACACGAATTTTCTCCAGGAAATTCAAGAAAGAAATCAAGATTGTAGGCCACTTTTTTAATGAATATGTACAGTCGAGGGGTAATGGGAATTAGATTTTGAAAATTATCCCCTCAAAACTTTGAAAACACATCTTCTTAATGAGGCTGTAAGAATTTTAAAGCATAAGTAATAAAAAGCAAAATGTTGAGTAAGTATTTTAGTGCAATTAGAAAGTAGACTTATTTGCAGGAGTAAAGGGAAAATTCAATTAATGTCATTTGAAATAGAGAGTTTTAGTGGGGCATGTTTTTAAAGTTTTCGGTATAATTTTTCCTACAAATGACTAAAGCAGTTCTGTCATTAGGGATCCTTTATGAAGAATACAGTCTTTTCACAGACGGAGATCAGACATATTTTTAAATTATTCAAATGCGTTACATTTATTGCGTAAGTTTTAGTGAAAGTAATAAAAATATTTATTAGTTGTATGCAGAGATGCAATTATCGTACTGATTTCAGATTCAATTTCTAATATGTCTCGTGGCTTCTTTACAAATATCGAAATATAGTTTTGTACGTTATCTCACGCTGCCGGCTGGGTGGCATGGTTGGTTTTTCGCTAGCCTTCTGCACCTGAGATTGCGGGTTCGACCCTGGCCCAAGTCGGTGAGATTTCATGATGCAGAAAATCGACAGAAACAAAGTCGTATGATTATGCGACATGTAAAAGATCCCTAGAATGTCTGTTTGGCTTAGGTGTCCTTGGCAAAATTAAATCCTAGGACAGGTTCGCATCATCAGAGCTCTGGTGCCTCCCTCTAGGGAAGAAACTGAGTGTCAAAATAACCTGAGGCCATTGGTATCCCACCTCTATGGTGCCGCACTAAAAAGAGATACCAATCCGCAATGGTAAAACACCAATCCGCAACCTGTTAGAAATAATGGTAACAATAATAATAATAAAAAAAAAACGTTAGCTCATGCTAGATGTGAAGCATTTATGCTTTGGGGGAGTGAGTGTTATA